ATTCCTGGCAACCTTTTCAGTGTCCCTAGCACATTGGACTCTTCAACCCTGGTTCTTTTCCTTTTCTTCACATACCTAACTCCCAGCCAAAATCCAAGTATCACTAACAAGGCCATTGTTGGAACACCAACCCCAACAGCAATCTTCAACCAAGTCCAATCTTTTCTTGGGGGTACTTCCTTCACGCTTAAATCCCATTCCAAAACACAGTTTAGCTGAATTGCTGAGCTGCCTGTGGAAGCAGCAAATCCAAAGTAGGACTCTTCTTTCAGGTAATGCCTCAAGTTTATTGTCTCCCTCAAAAGTGGTGTGTTGGGCTTGTTTGGTGGATTGGCTCGAGAGTGTTTAGCCATGTAGACTTCCATGATTTTGGACCTACCGTCGTATTCCACCCACACGCTGTAGTTGGTGGCTTTCTCCGGCGATATCTCAATGCCTAAAGGGGTGAGAGAAACAATCTTGTTTGAGTGTACAGAATTGATGTTGAGGCCTATGTGGTTGCCATCGGGGTCGAAATCCTGCTTTTCTGTGTCGAATTCTATAGCAACAATGCGGTTTGTGGCATTCCCATCAGTGCTGGCATTGGTGAGGCCTAGCCACTGTCCATAGCTTTGTTCAGGTATATTTATATCTGAAGCTATTAGAAAGGCAAAGCCTTCACCAGCATTCGACTCGTTGTGGTAAATGTTCACGAGGAAAGTTGAGTTGAAGGAGGCAACAACATCGATGTCAGGCAACCATAGTCTGTAAGCTCTGTGGTACATGATCCGTCCGGACTTGTTTTGTAAAAGAAAGTCTTGGTTCAGAGTGTCTGGGGTTAACTGAAGTGCCCCATGATCAATGGAAGAATCGCCTTTAATGCGGAAGGTAGCTTGGTCAGTTTTTTCATCAAATACAAGAAAAGGGAAATGTTTCGGCTTAGGTGCTGATTCTGCAGTGCCTATGGCAGCTTGATGCAGCATTATGGCAAAAGGGACAACTAGGAAGGTGATTAATATTCCTTTCGGAAGCCCCATATTCCTTGTTGATTTTGATTGATTCACCTAGAGCTAATTTAAATGCAGAAAACAAGAACAGAATAAATGGAACTAACCAAATGTGAGAGGAAATGGTGCTCACTATCTGCACAAGGTGATCAAAATGAGAGATTTGCTTTCTATTTGTGGTAAATATGTTATATATACATGCGTCTGTTGAATAAGGAATCTGACACGAAATTACCAAAGTGGAAGACGGCTTGATTTGTCAATTCCCCATTTGGACCTGTTAACCTTATCTTTAATATGCAATGTTCTGTTTGTGTGGTACTTGTTAATGTTCTTCCTTTGTTTTTCTTCCTTCGAGAAAACTCAAAAAACAGAGACTTTTCAAGTCAAGGCGGCTAATATGCCATGAAAAAGTCTATTTTCTGCCAGAAATGTGAACCCATTGGGCTATAAACTAACTTGTTTGTATTCTTTTTCTTTTAAAGGAAACTTCTAAGCAGCATGAGTACCGTGCGTATGCTAGAACCAGAAGAGGTCCCATGCAGAACGCCTCAATGAATTTTACAAGGAGACCAAGAAGATTTTGAATAATATGAAGGAAAATAGAAAGAAACAAAATTTGTCATACAACACCTACCGTGCCAACGTCACGAAGATTCTATATCTCTCTTCTTTTTTCTTTTCTTTTTTCTATTTTTTTCATTTTTATAATGATTTTGAGGCGGAGAGCGCGTGACTTGTAAGTTCAACTCTCATCGGAAATGTAGCATATAAAGTGCTCTATCACTGAAATTATAAGCCCTCGCTATATGTTTGGTACATTAAAAAACCTTCTTACCTTTGGTACTCACCAACAGCCAAAAAAAGACCTATCCATAAGAATACACAAAGTGATGTGTATGTTTCTGTACATAAAAGGAGGCACCAATTCTCGGTTGTTTCCTTATCCGAATGAAATGCTACTTAAGAAAAGACACACAATGTCATATCTAAACATATTTTTAACTTTAATATGCAGATTTGGAGGACACTGCAGGGTCCTAATCGTTCACACACACAGTACTTATAAATTTACATGTAACCAAGTAACAAACTGTGAAACAGGAAAACATGAAGAAAAGTAATAACAAGACATACTAAGCACACTTGTTTTCATTTCCCCCCCTTCTACTTGGATATGAAACCGCCGATAACAGAGCCTATAAGAGCAGTAGGATCTCCCAGGATTGCAGAGACAATAACACGAACGGCACCACCAGCAATCTGGCAACACTTTCTGACCTTTCCTCCTCCTCGTCCTCTCCCTCCATGATGGTTTTTCAGTGTTCCCTTGAGGCTTGGGATTCTAGTCTGCATTTCCCTAACTTTGTTCTTGTCCACATTGAGATACATGGCTTGCCAGCTCTCCACAAGCAACTCCTTCACACATGACACATGAAGGTTATAGGTCTTGCAATCAGACCTGTAAGACCAACCAGGCCCCTTGCCTCCACACCTATGACAAGGACTAGATAACTTGAGGCACAAGTAAAGGTTGTGCTCCCCATCATCTAGGACTTTTGGGAGGTTTGCACAACAAGGGTGCAGATCAAAATCACATTTCCAGCAGTGGTACACAAACCCCAAAACATCCTTCCTACATGCATCACACACTCTCCTAGCAGCGCCAGGCGGGTTGTAAAGAAACTGAAACTCACATTTGTTGTAGTAGGGATGGTGGATGTTGGGAGCAGCCACAGCACATGCCTTGTGCAAGTCAAATTCACATTTCTGACACTTGTATTTGAGGCCAATGCCAGGTTCTTTGCACCCATCACAGTAGAATGGGATCTCTGTGTATTCAATCTTGAGCTTGTGTTGTAGGTGGATGGGGTGAGAGATTTCCTTGTCAATCTTCATGTGTTTTCTTTTTTCTTTCTTTTTTTCTCAGGAAAATCCTAAGTTTCTCACTCAGGCCAATTTGGAAGTAGCAGCAAGATGAGAGATGCTTATATGGAGATGAGGGTTAAATGGCCAGTTAAGTTTGGTATGCTTTTGATAGCTTAAAAAAAAGGGTTTCTCAACAGTCTTGTAGCTAAGGTAAGATTCTTTGCTTGAGATTTACAAGTGGAGAATAAAAAAATTGGTCACATTGATGCAATAATTAAGGTGAGAATGTTTGAGATATAGAGGGATCAAAGAAAGCATTCATTGCCTTTGGAATCTATTGCCGTGGAAGGATGTTATTTTTTGCCGTTGCTCCCTTATGGGATTAAGATAGCATTTCTAATACTGAAGGTTATTGACTTAAAACCATATAAATGTTACTATAATTGACGAGCTTAAGAATCGAACTTGTCCTTGATGAAGAATCAGAAACTTGTAAATGGTTTTTTAAAATTTTTATGTAAGCGATAATCTGCTTTAAACTAATTTAAACTACAAAGAGAGGGATTCGAATTTAGGTGCAGAACCAACTTGTACATGGTTTTTCAGTCAAGGGCTAATTTTAGAGTTTCACGCAAAGCTTTCTTCAAAGACTACAAAAGAACAAAGGCAAGCAATGTCCCCAAAATTCATCTTGAGTCTCTGACCCCAACAGGTGGAATGTTCTGGGATGCTTTGGATTATATTATCAATCTCTTTGATAAATAAAGGAGTTCAACGCTTGTAAAAGTAGCAGCATGGATTCATCTGGAAGGTTCACAATGTTATAAAGACAAAGCAAAAAAAGCAGAACAAAAGAGATGGTCTTCAGTGCTACTGTCACAGGTGTCTCGACCACGGTGATTTCCGAAGTTATGGAATTTGTGAAGATCTTTGTATAGCTCAAGCTGCCAAGTGGCAAATTGTACTCTTTTGCGGGTCCTAGTCTATATCTATAGAAAATTTCTTCAGCGTTACCCCCGTTATGTGTTTATAACATCTAAATACTTGCCTTCTTCTTAGGAAGTAGAAATTCCTACTTTCTTTATAATCACAATTTGATGTGTGCTAAGATTCTTTTTTACGTGTTTTTGATGAATTATTTTTATATATGTATCAAATTTTGATTTGCAGAAAGTAGAAATGCCTCTCATGTAAGAAGGTAACCAGTCCTTCTTTAATAATTCTAATACGTCTCAAAATATTAACATATGATTCACTCATATTATAATACGTGAATATCATGTGTCACGGTAAACGATTCTGTAATGCCAAACTTATCTGCTAGATGTCAGTTTCAAACAAATTTTCCACAGGGTGAACCAAGCCTTATGACTCGTCAAACAAGGTTTACTACACGGAAATTCTTCTTATTTTATGTGAACCGAGCCTCTACATTTCACTTTCTTTATTTTGTTTTTGCCGAATTTCACTTTCTTTATTTGATTCTATATTCTCTTTGTTTTTTTTTTCTTTGTAACATATTCTCTTTTTTCTTTTCTCTTTCCCCTTTTTTTTTTAACTTTTTTTTTTTCTTTGTTTGTTGGACCCTGTACGATTGTGGAAGGCATTAACCGAAACAGTACGAACAGAAAAAAAGAGTTTCAAACTCCATTTTATCAGATTCAAAGTGGGTTTGAGGATACTACAAAAAATCCCGTTGTTAATAATTAATAATCACCACAAGTTATTAACCAAGGCTAAACCCTAACAATGCAACTTCCTATTATTGAGATTAGAGGATGTTCACCCCACGGATTAGTAGCAGCTTATCCCTACCTGGTCCCTCCAACAAGATCTCGATACAAACAAGTTTACGGTGCAAGAGTTAAGAGAAAACGGTTTAAATACAAATATTGCCCGCCTTCAGGCACACCCTCTCCTCTCCCCCACCCAACTTTCTCCCAGCAGGAAGCCCCTGGCACGCTGGATAGGAGAAACAAAGATGTCAATGACTGAATGTGCACGGTCCGGAGAAGGAAATACATAATGGAAGGGTTTCTTCTGCAAATAGCAGTCACTCTTTCAGACTTAGCCTTGCACTTTGAACCTTCACTGAAAGCTTCAACTTCTGCTCTTCCATGTCTCGTAGAACAGCAAGCAGATTTGCTCGATAAACTTCACACCGTTGGTTGGTATTCTCCAACTCGGCAGACAATTCACGGATTTTCTTTTCCTTTTCATCCTGATGAAAATAAATGAGTGAACAAAAATAATGGCATATATCATGATCAAACTGAAAACACAAGCACCAATAAACAAAAAGAATGGCGTATTATATCATGATCACAGTGAAAGCACAAGCACCGTATAAACCATGTGATGATTACATTTATTCTGACATCATAATTTACAGCTGGCCCTCTCTGGCTACAAACATGAAATAGAAATCATGAATTACCATGTTTGTAACAATGGAACACCCAAAGATGCATTATTTCTTAGTGTGTAGAGTTCAATAGCTACATACACCTAAGGTAACAAATAAGCAAATAATTACGAAACTATATCCATGCTTTCCAGATTCATAACAGGAAAGACAAAAAAAATTCACTTTTGAATAATTCTACTTCATATTCATAAACTTCCCCAATGACCTAATGCTGAGAGAGAGAGAGAGAGAGAGAGAGAGAGATATATATATATATATATATTAAACATAATAACAACAACGACAATGATATTATTAAACATATCTTGTGAGGTGGGAGTAACGTACCGAAGACTGATACACTGTTGTTTGATTTTCTTCCGTTGAATGCATTTCTTGGCTACCTCCATTGGCCAGGGAACTACCCTGAGTAGCTCCAGAACCTTGGTTCTTTATAGAAGCAACTTTCTTAGCAGCCTCCTGTAGAGCATTCATCGCCACATTATAAATGTGGATAGATTTTGCTCCCTCTTCTACATATTTGATTGCTTCCTGACGTAGATTGTTATACCTAACTGTTACAGATTCTCTAGAATTGTTTGGCAATTCAGACGCATGTTCATCCACCACAGCTCCACTCTTGGCATTTCTAGTCCATCGTTTCAATACGTATTGAGAAGGGAGTCTAAGAACATTTTTTGCCCTAAAAACTGCTAGTACATGCCTACAGATTATTCCTGAATATTCAAACATTTGACACGTACAACTAGCTTTCATCTCAAAAGAATTGAAATCAACAGCATGGGCTTTGTGGTCTTCCCCAAATTTGGCCACTCGATAGGTGGCAGCAGTTCCTGAGTCATCAATTTTTGTTGCAGGATTTGCAAGGGTCTCAACCAACTCCTCCTGGAACTTCTTAAATATTCGCCTAGTATAGAGGTTTGCAGCTTGTTTTTCCATAGGAGATGGTGTCTTCAAAACAGGCATAGTATTAGTAGTGTCATAATCTGCTTTGAGTTCCTTTTCATGCCAACTAACTACAGCTTTCTCATACTGTTTAAGCAAAACCTGTATGGTAGTGGATGAATTCACATACCCGTCAAAAAACAAAGTTAAACTTTCACTTCCCTCACTTACTGCAAACTCTCCAAAGAAGGTGTCTCTCATGTACACTGGGACCCACTGTTGCCTAGCATTGTACATTGATTGAAGCCATTCATCATCCATGATGTAGTATCTTTGAAGCAATGATTCCCAACGTGACTCAAACTCATCTACTGTCTCACTCTCATTGATGCACTTCTTAAATTCAGTCTCAAAAGTAGGATGAGAACGATATAGATGATCTAGTTTCTCTTGTGTTTCTCTAAATATGGCCCACTTACAGAAACGATGGCGAGTTTCAGGAAGAACCTGCGCAACTGCAACTTGTATGTGCCTCTCTGGATCAGTGGTGATGGAGACAGGGTGGCGTCCAGACATTGCATGAAGCCAAGTTTGTAACAGCCATAAGAATGAGGACTCAGACTCATTTAGAATTAACGCACAGCCAAACAACACTGGCTGCCCATGATGATTAAGCCCAGAAAATGAGGCAAACGGTACCCTATAGCGGTTTGTCCTGTATGAGGTGTCAAATATAACAGTATCTCCAAAATATGTATAGTTCATCCTGGCTGTTGAATCCACCCAAAATATATTTCCACTAGAGTGATCACTATCATTCTGAATTGCATAGAAGAAAGCAGGATTTTCTGCTTGCATTCGTTTCAGATAGTCCAACACATGCTGACCCCCACCCCCGAGGGTCCTCTGTCTGACACCACTCATGTAACTTCAAAATTCAACTGTAGCCAATAAGAAAAAAGTAAGAAATGTTGCCACCAAAGTCCATTATTAAATACGGAAGGTAACTTACACAAATCAGGGTTCAAACTATAACTAAAACATCATATGCTGCTATCATCTCTACACCTTCACTAGAATTATATGCTCCTCCTCCTCCTCCTGGTCATCATGACCAGATTCATCCTAATTGCAAAAATTTTCCCTAATTTGTTAACATTGCAAATTCTTTTCAGACCAGCGAGGCCTTCCTACATGCAGTAGAAATTTATTGCAGATTCATGGCACTTCCTACATGCAATAAAGCTACAGATTTTCTTGTAACAATTTTAAGTATTCAAACTAGTTTTTAACTGTGATTTCACGAGGTATGGTCTGGAAATTGGATACATGGGAAATCAACCACTGTTTTCTCAGAATAACACCCATTTAAGCTAATCTTAAGCATGCTTTTATCAGAAGTCACCAAAACTCAAACCACAGAACACAATTCCCAAATTTGTAGCCTCCCTAAAGCAACCTCATCAACATTACAGTAACTTCGTTTCTTTTAAAAAAAAAAAAAAAATTATTTAAGAAAAAAAGATTTACTACACGACACCCATAAGCTATGAGACAAATACTTAAAAACTTAACCCACAAAATATTGCACAGAGAGAAATTCAGGAAAATGGAGTACAAAAATTACAGCACATAAATTTCATACAAAAACCTAATCAATTTGCACAAGCAAAAAAAGGGGTGGTTAAGAAAAATACCTTGTTTGTTGTAGTTGAGTCTGTTTGAGATATAAGCTTGAGAAGAGAAGAAACAGAGGAAACAGTAAGTTTGGTGACAAGAGAGAATTGGGTATTGAAGAAGAAAAGGATTTAAGCCTTTCAGGCAGCTGAAAGCCAGAAAC